CATGATGTACATGTTCTGGGCTAAGGCCCCAGCAAGCCTCGTGCCCGCCCTAAGTGAAGGCGGGCCAGCAAATCAACAAGAGCCCTTTGTGCCAATATTTCACGAAGTGGGGTCCATACAGCTGCAACACGCCAGTTGGTTGGAGTGCAACGAGTCTCGGATTTCAGCAAATGTTTAAATGTCGAGGGCCTCTGAGTTAGTTAGGCCCTTGGCTGTGAATGTGAGGCCGACAATGCATGCTGGGTATAAAGGCCGAAAATGCCAAAGGGAAATCGGCCCACTGTCTGAATCTGGCCGCAGGCCCTGATGAAAGAGGTGCAACTGCATTGCTCCAGGGCCCAACTGTATCGGGCTCAGTTCATCCTCTGGGTCCCGGTCACAGGCTGAAGGGAGGCCGCCCACACGCTGCACTGGCATATAGGCAAGCAGGGCGAGTGGGCAGGGATCTTGGCCAATGCTGGCATTGCGGGCACGCTGCGCGGATGCATGTGTGCTGCGCAGTGCAGAGCAGCGCTGCGCTAAGAGCAAGCAGGCTAGGCTAGGCGGTAGGGGCGCTGCCTGCATGCAGGGCACTGGCGGCCATAGCCGGGCCGCATGAGAGTGCAGAAGAGGTGAAGGGCGAAGGTGGTCTTTGGAGGTGAAGGGCGCTGCGTGGGTAACAAGGGAGAGTGTGGGGAAGAGGACACGTACCTGGTGAAGGTGGAGGTCGGCGTTGGTGTTGACATCATCACTCGCTGGTAGTCAAGTTGTCTGGTTGCTGTTCATTGCTGTAGTTGTAGGATAGGCTGTAGAGTAGACAGGGCGCCTGGCGCCATGTACAAGAGAGAGCTACATTTGGGTTATGCTGTAGGTGTTGCCATGTTGGGCATGGATAATGACTCACGATTCTTCTGTATCATTCTCAATTGGATGGTTACTCGGTTCCATTTGCTATCTGCTTTGGCTTTGACTACTTGGACTTAAGTGTGATTTTGCATTCTGGATTTATGTGCTTCGTCCATACTCATGTTCCTTGCAGATGCCGCTACTCCGGGTGTTGTACCTGTTGCGGCGCTGCCAACACCAGCAGCAGCCTGCAGTTACATATCCTGCAGCTACTGCTGCTCCGCACACACACACACACGTACACACACACACACACACACGCACACACACACACACTCACACACACACAAACTTCAAGCTGCTGAAATGCTTGGTGAAGCAGCGCTGGAGCCAACGGAGCTGCTGGGAAGGGACCGGCCGGCGCTACTCCTCGGCTATGGTGGAGTAGGTAGGACAGGAGGAGGAAGAAGGGCAAAGGGGAAGGGGGAGCGACAAAGATACTTACCTGCCTATGGTCGTTGCATCTTGTCATGTAGATGATGCACTACCTGAAGCAGCTTCAGTGGCACAAGCCGCAGAAGCAGCAGCTGCAACAGGTGCATGCGCTGCTGCATGTGCTGCAACACATGCAGCTGTCGAAGCTGCTGCTGCTGCGGCTAGTACTGTTGAAGTTGTTGTAGCTGATGCATCACATGCTTCATCTGCAACACACATACACACACACACACACACACACACACACACACACACACGCTTGACAAGATGACACACACACACACATGAGAAGATGACACACACACACACACACACACATGAGAAGATGACACACACACACACACACACGCACAGGAACACACACAAACACACACACCGACATTCATGCGAATACACTTAATGGCACGACCACACGAACCGACTGACAACAAAAAACAACGTCAACGTGGCATGGCTGATTACGAGGAGCAGGCACCGTGCATGAATGGAAAAGAAACAACAAAAGGTATCTCTCTCTCTCTCTCTCTCTCTCTCTCTCTCTCTCTCTCTCTCTCTCACACTGTGTCTCTCTGCCTTCATCGGGCGCTATCCTCCTCTTTTTCGTTTTGTGCAGGGGGGCACTCTCATGGGAGTCGTCATCAGAGGTCGAGGCTGCAGGATCACGCATTGGCTTCTTGTCCTTCCATGGCCGCCCTCTCGGGCGACCTGTCCCTCGTGCGGCACGAGCGCGACCTCTGCCTCCTGTGGAAGGAAGGCGCCCTCTGCCTCGCGGAGCACGATAGCCGAGCGGATCCCATACACACCCGGGATGTGCTTGCCCACTACCGAGTAGGTGCGGCGGGAGACTGGCACCATAAAATGACCGCACCTCCGGGCGGCACTGACCTCCCTCTGCCTCGCCCTCATGCTCCCTGTGCCCCAGTGCCTCCTCCCCCTGCTGATCGTCAGCCTGCTGCTGCTGCTCCTCGTCAGCCTACTGCTGCTGCTGCTCCTCTTCAGCCTCGTCAGCCTGCTACTGCTGCTGCTGCTGCTCCTCGTCAGTGTGCTGCTGCTGCTGCTCCTCGTCAGCCTGCTGCTGCTACTGCTGCTCCACAACAACCTGCTCATGGTGCTCCACAGGCTGCTCCTCATGTTGCTGCACCTGTTGCCGCTGATTCTGGGACCTCAATCCATGTCGTGTGCCTGGAACATGTGGTGTGATTTCCTCCCTCCTCGTCCACGATCAATCAGAGTCTGACCGATCGTCCACCCACTCGTCATGTGGAATCTCGTCCTCGTTGTCCACATCGTCATCGTCCTCCTCCTCCTCCATGTCACCCCACTCCATACCCTCCTCCACCTCTCCTCGCCTCGGCACGCCTGTTGATGTCCCGGCCGCAACAGGATCATGGCGAATGGTGGTGCTACCTGCACCGGATGGAGCAGCCTCATGACCGAGCTCACCGTCGTCAACAGCATCAGTCAAACCTGCCTGATCACCTTCCAAATCATCGTCAGCCCAGTCTGCTGCTAGCCCCAACCATCCTCCTACCACCGTTGGCCCGTCATCGCCCCTGCTCTTGACCCTGAGGCTCCAGTGCGAGTACACCAACTTCTTGGTGCGCTGGTGGTATAGCTTGTTCCTGGACTTCGTCTGCACAAGAGACCAAGTGCTCCAATTCCTCTCTGCTGGAGAGGATGTCGTCCAAATGGAGAGCACCTTCACCGCCAGAGCCTTGATCTCTGGATGGCCAGCCCCGTGCGCCTCCCACCACAGCACCTCATTGTCCTTCTTCGCCCTCTGCACCGCCCGTGTGGTGCCGAACACTCCTCTCGCCATCTGGAACTCATACAGTTGGTCCAAGCAGTCGTCAAACATCTTGCTCCCTCTCTTGCCGATGAGGCGCTCCACAACAGCCTCAAACTGCGTCATGAGCTCGACATTGTTGAAAACAGCAATGTCCCTCAACACTGGATCCAGCAACCGGGCCACGGTGTGGATCGGGCTGAGCAGCATATCTGTCCTATTCTTCACGTCCACCAGGACATCATCTCGCTCCTTGTCACCGAGGGGGGCCGAACGGACGAAGACAGGCAATTGACGGGCCAGGTCGTAGATCCGAGACAAGCAGTGAACATCCTTGTCCACCTCTCATAGGACTTCATAAGGGCCCTTCATGAGGGTGGTCAGCTTCTTGACATCAGCCCAGAAGGCCCTGTCAAGAACAGTCTCCTCCACAAATAACGTCTTCCCCCTGATATCCCCCCTCCACACCATCCTCTCCCAGGCGAGTCCATTCACGATGCGTATGATGGCCCTGGCACAGACCTCCAGTCGCTGCAGCATCACGTAGTTTGTCCCAAACCTCGTCTGAGCTGGGCGAAGTAGGCAGGTGCATTTAAGGTCAGGGTACTGCAACAACTGCGTCCGCAGCTGCGATCGTGGCCACCTCTGCACGCTGAAGAAGGTGACCACCTTGTTGGCCTTCTTTATGATGGTTGCCGACCACTCCTTCTTGCAGATGTCGTGCATGAGCAGGTCCATGCAGTGTGCCGTGCAAGGGATCCAGTAGATTTGCGTGAATTCGGGATCCTCCCTCAACATCCGGGCAGCGCTCTTGTTCCCTGCGAAGGAGTCTGTGCAGATCGCAATCACCTTCTCTACTCCCCACTCCCTGAAGAACCTCTTCCACCCAGTGACGATGGCAGCTGCATCCTTCTCCCCCTCACTCACATCCTCGCATTCGATGAAAACGGGTTTCGACCGCCCGACGAGGATGTAATTCATAAGCGATCGCCCACAGATGTGTGTGGTGCCATCGGTTATGAACGTGCAGCCTCTCACCTCCCAGTCGTCCCGGACTGCCTTCTCCTCAGCCTCCAACCTCCCGCGCAACCGATCAAGCAGCGTGCATCGTTGTGGGTTGTACCCAGTGGGCACAAGAGGGCAGCTCGCCGCAGGTTGCGGCCCATAACACGCCAGCTAGAACTTCTTGAAGCTCTTGCTTTTCACGGCGTTGAACGGGATGGCGTTCTCGACGAAGAACTCGCAGCAGGTATCATCGATGTTCGCCTGTCTGGGGTTCTTCGCGTACCTGACGATGCTCGTCTGTCTAGCCGCCCCCCGTCTGCGGGCAGCCTGCTCCTCAGTCCGTGACAATGCAGGTCTCCGGACCGGAGTCTCTCCGTCGGCCACAACCCCTCTTGTCACCTCATCCACCCCGCTGCCAGCCTCCCCATGAACCGCCTCCCCTGCCTCCCCATCCATCGCAACCCCTCCCCCTCGCCCCACCGCGTCGTCCTCCAGCACAGGACCATCATCGTCATCGCTGGCAGACTCCTCTATTGCACGCTGCACCCTCTCCATAAGATCTGGTGGCATCTCAAAACCAACCCTGTGCAACCTCCTCCAAATCGCCATCGTTGCATTTGGACACCGGGCGGAGGCCCTCTTCAAACAAAAGTGCTCCATCGCCCATTTCTGTGTCCCTGTGAATTCTGTGTTGTACAACTTGCAGCGCAGCCTCCTTGATCCATGAGCGTTCCCTGACAGCAATTGACCGGCAGTCACCCACGTCCACACCACGTGATCCCGCCGGTGGTTGAGGTCCTCCCGGAAGGGGTCCCGCCCCACATCCGCTCCCCCTGCTCCGTCAGCGTTGTTGCTAGCCATAGCGCTGCCGACGTGGAAGCAGCAAACCTCGACCGGATGCTGATGTGGCAGATGCTGCGATGGCCAGTCCTGATGTGGTAGCTCCTGACGAGGCAGGTGCAATGCGGAAGGATGCCGACTGTTCAGCTACACTCCCCGGTGCTGCTTGCCATGTGCCGGGAAGATGACATTCCAGTTCTGCTCCAGCAGAACGACAGAACAAGAAGACGACGACATGCCACGTCAGTGAAACGGGGGAGAAGAAGAATAAGACAAAATCTGACAAAGTTCAGAAAAATTATGGAAAAAAA